TGATATAATTCAACTATCAGTCCCCTTATAACCTTAAACTAAGTAGGTTGAATACACATATAAAGGAGCTTATGCTAAATTCTAAAGCCTACTTATAAGCGAAAAATAAGTAATGTAGTCGATTGCTATTGCAAATACAATTTAGCTTCATCGTCAATCCCACCATATAATGTGATATGGGAAAATGTCTGGTCTTTCTTAAACTTCTCACATCCCCTGTGACCCAAGAACACCCTTGACAATGTGGCATAGTGATAAACTTGTAGAGATTATACGATACACTGTCATGGTTCGAATCCCACAGCAATTGTCTGTTAGATCTAGGCGAAGTCGAAACTGGAGTCCACTCTGTGTGAAAATTCCTTTTGGGAGGCAAGGTTATGTGCAATTAAATGGAGGCATTAGGTTATTATGGGAAAATTCAATTGCTTCTCCCCTTAGTACCCTAGGCGGTATAGAGTAAATACACATATAGATAATTAGAAATTTGGTTGCTAGTTGACACTTTAATGTCTGTCACTGCAATTTCCAAGTCGTAGAAGTTCTCCAATCCGTGCTTTAGCATTACAATATAAGAATAGATAATGTCTTCTTTTTCCTACTTGTTCTGATATCAGGAACTTTTGTCGTCTGGTCACCGGCATTAAAGTACTTATTACCGACTGGACTGAGTTTGTCAACCAGATTATGTCATCCACATCCAGGATGTTGCTGTCAATGGAAAAGTGGCCCGTAGCCTCGGCGATATATTGACGCAGCATTTCTGTGAGATCTAAGTCTGTTAGAAGCCAGGTTTTGACCTCGGGCCGATCGGGCAGAGGTGGTTGGTCATAGATGAGACGGTCAAGCATGGCCTGAAAAAAGATGAGCGCTAGTTTGCGGTATTCGGCCTGGGCTTCCTTCAGGTTAAGGGTACATGAAGCACTTATTTTAGGCAGTTCCAGCGTCAAATTGTGTATGACATCAGGGAGGATACGGTCGCGAACCATTTTAAATATTTGCGGGCGTGAGAAGTGTCTGATAGAGAAGGG